TTCCCCTTAGTGCCATGTTACTCTATTCACAATACAAACCAAGCACAAGGCCTGGGTTGAGGTGTACACAGGGTCTTTCACTCTGCCTCCTCTTTGTATCCAGCCAGTGCAAGAACACAGCCTGTGATAAGCATCAGGAGGCTGCAACATCAGTTTTGAAGAAGACTGGAAGAGATGATTTTTTATTTGAAAATGAAAATTTTATTATGGAGAATGTAAAATTCACTAATATTTTTAAGACAGAACAAAATTTCATATTTATGGTGAGCAGCTTCCGATTTTGCTCTCAGGCCCTCAGTATTAGGATTAATACTGTTAGAGAATTTTGAGAAGCAAACTCAATATATATTATTTTGCCTCACTGCAGATATTTTTCTTATTCCTGTAGGAAAGTCAAGTTAATTAATGTAATGATATGGTGAATAGTTTAATAGTCTGCTCTAAAGATTTTCTTTCCATTTTCTTTGCAACTGGAACTAGACTATGCTGTATAAAGTAAAAAAAATTAGTGATTTCTCTTCTTTCTAGTTAAACATTTTATGGCTGCTGGTAAGATGCTTTGAATTACAAATGTGAAAATACTCCCTCACATCTCATGCTTCAGATGACCAAGATACAAGGAAGCTTGAAATAAAAACAATATATCAACTGACCATTCACTGGGATTAATAGAACTCTTTCCTCATCAGTTTCTACAGCAAGCTCAGAAAACAAGTAAAAGATCATAATAAATTTACAGCAAAAGTAAAACAGATCAAAATAGGTTATGAAACAGATTTAAAATTACTTCTTAAAAGTCCAAAATATTATGACAATAAAAAAATAACCAATACTCCATAAACAAATGCAGTTTATGAGTAAATTTAAAGCATTCTGGATGAGTGCAGTTAAGAATTCTTATCAGTGAGGTAATAATAGGAGTACAGCTTTTCACAGTAACAACGTGGGAGTGCCTAAGAAGAGAGGGAGGTAGAGAGAAAAAGGCTTAACATTAAACGTATCCAAGTGGAATTTGGATTTTTTTCAAGCAGCACAAACATCAAGAAAAACATTTGAAAGAAATATCAAGAGCAGCAGTTCACAGAGCAATTTCTCCAGGAAACTTCAGCCAGTATCTTTGCTGCATCAATCCCAGAAACAACCTATGTAAGCAATGGGAAGTCAATATTCTATATGAAGAGATTTCAGAGTATACAATTTCTCGGACTGTCTGCTGAAGTTACTACACTCAAATAATACTTTAAAACAGAAACCTCATCGTATTACAATGCTATACATACTTAAACATGAACAAAATTATGTTCAAGTCTCACAATTTGCCAGGCTAAATTAAGAACAACCACCCAGTAAGACTATATTCATTGCACTCATGCATTGCACTACACAAAATATAAAAAAAAAAAACAACCCACAAACAACTATTTTGTGGGCTAAACTCTTCCAGATATGGAGTGAAATCCAAATGATATGTTCAGCTCTATACATCATCTTTGTTCAAACTCACATTTTTAAAAAGTATTGAAAGAAATATTTAAAAAGCTCTTAAGTATCTTCCTTACTGTTTAGAAAAAATTAATTACCTTAAAATGATTTTTAAAAAGGCCTCAAATAAAGGATATTGTGACAATTCCTGTTTAAGAAGTTATTAAATCTGAATTTGAACTTTTCATGCTGGCCACTATCCCTGCCCTCCTATAAACACACCTCTGTTCCTTCTTGATGCAGCTCTGGGGAGACAGTCTGTAGTAAGCTGCACTGCGAATTCAAAGGTCATGCATCTGCAGGGATTTGGATCACCAGTGCCTCTGCAGGAGAAGGATGGGCAGTCTCTACCACTTCAGTTCACAGCCTCAGGAACATGACGGAAGGCCTCTCAGAGTTAGAACCAACTTGATGAGAGTAAGATATTCCTCCTTGTTCTGTCCTCACTAGAAATGAATACTATTTTGTAATGTTACTTATTTTGAATTCGTCAATAAAAGCCTCAGTTGATAACTTGAGACTTCTTAAGACTATCTCAACAGCTTTCTCCTCTTCAGTTATATGATCATAAATCCTTGAACTTTTTCTTAAAAGGCTATATTTTTCAGTCTATACTTTATTCTTATTTATTTCTGCTATGCTAACTATCAAGTTCTCATGCAAATCAGAACAATATCCTAGCATGAACTAAAACAGTAAGAGGAAGACTTTTTCTCATTTCCTAAAACTCAGCCTCTTTTAAATGATCACTAATAAAGGAAGACAAGCCATTGTTATGTACTGTGGAGTCAGAATTGACTCATAGCTGACATGCAGTGGGTTTTCAGAGGCAGTTTAATGTCATGGGACAGGAATGCCATAATGGTGAGGAGCTGTGCTGCCAACCTAAATACACATGGTTTGAATCCACCAGCTGCTCCTCCAAAGAAAGATGGCCATCTCCTCCTGTGGAGAAAACCTGCCCGAGGGTCAGCTACGAGTCAGTTCTGACTTGATGGTACACAACAACAATAATAGAGAAAAGCTACTGGCTTGCTATCCACTCATCAATAATAAAGCAATACAAGTAAACAACTTAGACACAGTTTACTCTGTTTTTAGTGTGACAGGCTTGTCCCTCATTAAGGCTTTCTTGTTGCCTTATTGACCTTCAGTTTATTATTTCTTCTGTTTTAACTCCAACTTCTGCTTTTGTCTTGCCCCACTAACTCCTTCCTTTTCCGGAATGCTCTAGAAAATATCAGTATTTCTCCGCACACTCTGCAATGGGAAAGCATTCGTTTTCATGATACTGTTCATGAAAGACAAAGCTAAGCAATGCAATCTCCCAATGCTGATACTTATCTGCCAGCACTTTTTCTCCTGATTGGCTTGAATGATCACTGATCATAGCCTGTTAGGCAGTGTCCGCTCACTATGTCGACTTCTTGTGAAATAATCATGCTCTGATAGACTCAACAGTGTGGCCAGAATCAAGTAATTCCTACAATCTCTACACTTGGGGCACATCTGTAAGCTTTTGTTAATTTTGACTTTGAATTTTTAAATTTTGACATGATATCCGAGGTATAAATAACTCTTTACCTTAAGACGATCCAATGTTGCATTACATTTAAGTAAGCAAATAAAAATGTTTTCCTCATAACAGAATTAAAATCATGACATGGCTTTAGTAAATATGAATGAACAATCACAGTGGTTTTAGCTCAACTCTGTTCTTCATTCAATGAAACACAGTACTAAATACAAATATACATATTTTCATATATACATAGCATTTTTCATAACACTTTATAGAGCATAGGCCTTTTCTTAAATGACAATATATATTCCTAAAAGCAAACAAACCAAGAAATCCTATGCATTCTTCTTCAGTACAAAAAGCCTTTGAAAAAACAAGCTTATTCAGGAAAAGATGATGATCTACATCTAACTAGCTGTCTATTAGCTATAGTCGTATAAGGTCCAACTACAAGAAAGGAAGAAAGGAACAAATTAACAATAGTGGCAACACAATAATTTGAAAACTATACTCAAATGTTAGCTGACAGTTGTGATAAACCAAAACCTCATTATTGAACATTCTAATCAGTTCAAATTTTATACATTTTTTCCTCCCCCCAAAAAACAAATTCTGTAATACCAGTGCAATCTTCAACAGAAAACTCACTTAGTTTTATTGCACTGAAGGCCTGGTTATTGTTACTTCTTAATTAAGTGCCATGTGTTTAAGTATGTGGTGATGTATAGGGTAAGATACACTGTAAAACTGAACAGTACTCCTCTATCTGGCCTTTTTCTGAAGATTGTGGTCAACCCACATCGACTTTCCAACAAATATTTGTCCACATTTAAAAAAAAAATCATATCTAAGTAGTGGTTATGTGATTAGAAATTTTACAGGAACCAGTAATATAGAATAAACTGGACTTTAATTTAAAAACAGATAATTGTGTTTCATTAACTTAAATCTGGATGTTTTATTTCTCTAGTAAAATTATCATTACTTCATTAAATAAAGGTCACTAATTATTAAAATGTAAACAAAATGTTAAATAAATCTAGAGTTAAAAAAATAAATCTAGCAATCCTTTCTCAGTTCAGAATTTTTTTCTTTGCTTAAAGATTGTGATAACTGACAATTTTAACATGAGGACCCCTAACTAAAGTTATACTAAGCCTTCTTTTAGGAAGACTTTTATTTGCATGAAAGATTTTTAAATCAGTCAACTTTTGACATAGAGAGGGAAGCACCTATGTAGCTTGGAAGATTTTCCTTAACTGGATGAAAATGAAATAATTAAATTCTGTCCAGTGCAGGAACATACCAGACCCCAGAAAGGCACTGAGAAGTTTGATAAGAACAAAGTCACTAAGGAGTGTTGCCACTATTGTGTCATGTTCAGCAAACACTGGAATTTTAAATATACACATAATGCACCAAGAGAACTTAAAACAAAGATTGAAACCACATATTATAACAGTTGCTCAAAATGAAAAATTCTAAATATTCTATTTTAAATATTCTAGTTTATACATTAACACCTGTAATATAATAATGACACTTTACCATCATGAGCAGTGCCAGTCCCTACTGACTTTATTGAACTAATTCTACAATTATATAACATTTACCTGCTTTTTAAACCACAAACCCCATGCTACACAACTACAATATAGAACTAAGCTTAGTCAGACTTTAATAAGAAAATTCACTTTTGTATCACTACGTTTCTGTTAAAGGAAGAACAACAGATTACTATAAACTTTTCATGTAACAACTTTGTTCAAGATTATGAAAAATTGGAGTAATTTTCCTCCAGACCACTTCAATTTAAACAGTGTGCTTAGTTGATCAAAAAAGAAAGAAAAAGGGAGAGGGGTAAATACTTGGCCCAATAAGAGAGAAAGAGAGAGAGAGAAAGAAAGAGAATGCCGATACAAAGATCAACGTGTGGAGTTCCTGGTCGTTCTATTTTATGTGCCAGTGCAAAGTAAGCAGCTGTACTGCTAAACCCCTAAACAGAACGCCAGATCAGTCCATTCTTATTGGGCTCAAGAAAATTCTCAATCAATGCTTCGATGAGGTTCTTTAGTTCTTCTTCCAGCAAGGCAGTGTTACTGAGGAAAAAGATAAAGAGTTTTGAAATTATTACCTTCAAAGCCTTCAAACATGTTTACATTTAGAACAATTTATACTTGATGAAATTATTAGAGGTGGCAAACTAAAGAAAAATCAACTCAGATACAACTACAGCAACACAAAAAGCCACTCCCCACCATCCGCCCTCTCCCTAAAACTCTCATGAAGAAAACACTACTACTGCAAACTACAGTGGAACTGTGTCCATAGGCATAGCACGGACATTGATAAACTGATGCCTTATATACAGTACACATAAAACATTTGCTAGTTCAGGTGATTTACTGACTACTCTTTATGAGTGTTTGAGATAGCTTCCTGAAATACTTAGAAGAATATTCAGTACAGATGTACTATATAATGATATAACGTATCTTTTAGGTAGCAGAGAGCAGAGATGTTGTTGTTGTTATGTGCCGTCGAGTGGCTGGCGACTCATAGCGACCCTAGGTACAACAGCCCTAAACTCTGCTCCGTCCTGTGCCAATCGCACTGTCTCTGACACTCCCATCCTGATTATACCAGTCACTGACTCAATCCACCTCATAGAGGGCCTTCCCCTCCTGCGCTGTCCCTCCACCCTCCCAAGCATGATGTCCCTCTCCAAGGACCGGTCACTCCTCACGACATGTCCAAAGTATGTTAGATGGAGCCTCAGAATCCTTGCCTCCAAGGAGCCACCCGGTTTAATCCTTTCCAGGACAAATCTGTTTTCCTAGCAGCCCCTGGTATTCTCAATACTCTTCTCCAGCACCACAGCTCAAAGGCATCAATTCTCCTTCTATC